TCAAAACGTTATTGGCCTAACAGGAATATATCAAAGACAATTAAGCTTTATGTCCAAATCGTATTCTATTACATTCTAATGATATAATCTTAATTTAGTCTCCAAGCTACAAATATATTATACAGCATTATTTTAAAGAGTGGGCAAGAAGCCGTGGTGACGTGTTAACCCTTTCCGTGGTTTATGTTTTTATGGTCGTTTTGTCTGGGACCGGCGCTTGCGCAACGCCGACAAAAGTGAAAATCTCCGGTAGTAAAAGTTGCACAAAACTGGTTATTGATATTTTTAGGATTCTCTCAACGGTATACCCGTATTTATTAATTTCTCTTCGTACTTAATATATTTTTTCTGACGTAGGTACTATTATTATGAAATTGTACAATATGCTTTAAATTAAACCATCACTCATTACCAGCAACTCATTGCACCATTAGGTCTAGGTAATACTTTTAGTAGTAGCACTGGTACCTGTGAAAGTGTTCGTCCAGGAAAGTACTGCCTTAACTGTTTCTGCTGCCAAGCAGGAATGTGAGCATTTCTGCTGCCGGTTTTGTTCAGGCAGCCTTGTTCGTCCCGTCACATAGTACCACAAAAAAGTGCCTATAACTTTATCGAAGCTCATTATCAAATCAAAAATTAATATCAAAGTAATCTTTTTAATACAGTTGCTCAAAACGTGATATTTTTCGTACTACAAATCGTGCCGAAAGTTGCATTTTTCGCACTTGCACATTTTTTGCACAGTGCTTTTTACTTTTCCATTTTTTTTAAATTTGCTATTGTTTCAAATCTTAAACATAGAACTAAAGAGGTTGTATAGTTATTTAATATTTATGTGCTTTGTGACGTAAGTTATTCGTCATTAAAACTTACATTTACTTACAAACGTCTCATTCGTATAAATTGCATGGGTGTTTTATAAAACAACGGGTTACATTTAAAAATACCAAAATATTTTCCACAAAGATGGCTGATTGAGTATTAACAATGACCGGCGGTGAGTATTACGCGAGACCGCTATGCGCCGCACCACTAAAATAGTAATTTTAATGTGGCTGAATACTGGCAACAGTTGACATTGTACCTACTCTGAATTTTTATCAGACAAAGAAATAAAATGAGTTTTTTTTAAATACTTTTTTATTTTACTTTCAATGTAGTTGTTTCGCAAATGTATTAAAAAACGTCGTTTGATACACGTGCAGATTTGACATTTTTACTTGTCTCGAGTCTTGACCCTCGAGACTCGTGAATAATGACTAACTTTCCGCACTTGTATAAAAAATAACTATTATTTCATAGGTTAGCTACACTTGAAGTCGTCACGTTGGTTAAACTCTACTGCTCATTCGTGAGGCAGATTCCCCTGAAAAGAACGAGCAAGAAACTCTAGGGGTTGCTCTTTGTAAATAAAAATTTGTAGACATTTATCGTTTACAGTATTTTTTTTAAACATGATAGATCGATACTACCTCCAAGAGATAAACGGGATGCGACCACGGATTTTTGTCATATATATAAATTTTAGTTCAAATGTAAACTTATTGTTTCACTATAGTTTTAAACCTCGTGAATGGCGAATTTTGTATCGGAAGCTTGTTATAGAAGTATATACACTGCCCCGTAAATGAATTTGTGATTTTGTGAAGACGAGTATCAAGAATAGCTAGTTTATTTTAATTCCTCGTATTAATGTTATGTCTGTCACCATTTTTCATAATAAAAATTACTAGTCTTCTTAACGTAAATTACATTTTCATAAATGACAGTACATTTCAGTCGCTTTTTTATAATACTAAGTGACAGGACGAACAAGTCGTATGCCTGGTGGTAAATGACACGCCTGTCCATAACAGTTGCAGTGCCATTCAGAGCTTTAAATCACAAAGATTGTGTTGCACTGCCACTACGACACACAAAAACATAAGTTGACAAGTCCCACGTGCCTTTAATTTCACCAGCACCCTTGCCCTTCGAAACCGGAACGCAGTAATATTCACATTACTGCTTGGCGACAGATATAGGTAAGGTGGCAGTACTTCCCTGGACAAACGCTTGCACAAGGAGCTCTACTGCTATTTTAAGAATAAGAATAAGAATGTAAATGTAATGTATGCTAGTGTAAGAATGTTTTTTCTTTAAACTTATCTCTCAAAGATACTCTGAAGCCCAGATAGTATATTGCTCTAACCGCACGTTTCTGCAGGACAAAGTTTCTATTAATATCGGAGGTATCCAAAGACATTAATTACTGCAGCCAGCTAAAATATTAACAAAGAGCGCTATATCATACATCGTTGTAGAACATTTTCGGCTCTACGTTTTCCTGAGAGAATACTTAATAGTATCTTTCCTTCAAATGTTGTAAAACCGAGAAATATTTTCCATAAAAGTCGGGTAAACTGTAATGAAAGCTTCTATTAAAAATTTTATATGAACACAGAATAAGAAATATAGAACCATCAACATGCGACACGCGCTTGGCAATATAAAAAAAAATCTTTACAACTTTGTGACAGGTAGGTCCATTCTCTTGTTCTTTGTTCGCAGCAGCAGAAAGGGTTATTCCCAATGACTTAGTCTTATCTCTGCTAAGGATGAAAAGGTTTTTTTCTGTTTTTGTAGTGCAATAATTTTTAACAAAAGCACGTAATGGTCTAGTCAAAATATTATGAATGTTCATTGATAACTCTGTCAAAGATTTCTGTTCGTTCACATAAGAATATCTTTCATATTTATACTTGAATCTGCAAACTTTTACGTGACATTGAAAACTAACTTCGTTTAATTAATTAAGTGTGATAACCACTTGATTAATAGTGTTGAACAACTAAAGGTAATAAATAGAGAAGTTATTTATAACCACGTATTTAAGAGCAACCAAGAGTCAAGCTATTTATTGAAATAATATATCATATATCGTAGACTAAATTCGTAATCCTCGTACCTCTGTAGATGTAAACTTTTGAGTAGGCACAAAGAACAGAATTACCTGCTACAAATAATTTTATATGACAATTAATGATTTGTGCTTTAATTTATGACTAAAATAAAGGTATAATCTTTTTAGTTTAGAAATTATATTTTAAGCTTTAATTGTCGGATATTGCGCTTGAAGAGTAAAAACGGGATTTTGTCAAACAAAGAGATACGAGGTTTCCAATTCATCCAACGATATCGAATTCTTAGATTTTCGCGATTGCAACACATTGAAAATTAAAGTTCAAGATTTAGATCTAAAACAAAATAAGTACCATTTCCAGAAAAAATTAAAAGTGTAGGTAAATAGCGCATCTGAAACAAAATTTATAAAAAAAAAATGTTTTGTAGTCGTGTGTTTATATTTTCTTACTTAGCGATTGTTTGTTAAAAGAAAACACGTTTTATGCAAAAGAGAAAAAAAAACTCACTTTGTAAATACTTAATTTTATTAACTCTGAAACTAACGGATGATATATAAGTAGCCTATCTAAATTCGAGAGTACAACAAATATCTATACATATCTACAAGAACAAATTTAGCAGTATAAATTGTAACCCGCTAAAACTACGATTGGCAAGCGATAGTTAACTTTAACCGTATCGTTATAATATAAAAAGTTGCTAAAACTATTAATGTGAACCGCTTATATCATAAACATAGTATAGGTAGAACTAGTAGGTAACAATGGATTATATAATACTTTAACAACAAATGTTATTTTGAATTAACTATCCCTGTACACACTTTTAAATATGTTTCGTATTTTTAATATAAGTAATGTATGTGTGTTATTGTGATTTATTTGTAATTGTGTGATGTATAATGTGTCATTACTTTTGTTATACAGACAGAAAATGTGTAAAGAATTATACATTATTTAAAATATTAGATTAAAATTCATAGAAATAAGAATATAAATAATAAATATTGACGATTTTTTTCTTTTAATTTTACTAAACACGTAGGCAGAACAGACTGAGCAGAGGTCACGGCACAAGGTTTATTTGCTAAAACAATAATAATTCAAGGTCACACATCAAGTGTCTCTTTTATGGTAATTTGTGGGGAATTGCAGAAAACATCTTTAAACCTAACATATCTTTATTACATTTCATTCCATTGCTTTATGAAAACCAAGCTATGGCATATATCGTACCTAAATAATAATTTTATATTTGAATGCTATTTTCAAATGCGAAAAAACAAATTGAAATATTTTTTATAGATGAAAATATTGAATAATTTTTGTAGCATTGTAGAAAAAATTTAATGTGTGTTCACTTCTGCGCTGATAGCCTCAAATTTGAGTTATTATTGTTTTGTGTTTCTTTTTTTTTGTATTGCACATTGAATAAATATATTCTTTTTAACTCATGGACGATTAAAATTAAAGGACGTTAGAGATGTTATTTGGACAATATGAACTTAGAATTTCAAATACTTTTGGAGATGTCTAATTTTAAAATGGTATGCATTGGTATATAGTGTCACAACTAAGTAGTACAATATGTCGCGACTTATTTAAATAAAATATACGTCAAACCGAATTCCAATTATTCTGTTAAAAGTAATCAAGTTGGAATAAGGTATTTTAAATAAAATTCAATGAAAAAAACCGCCAATTAGGTTAGAAATCGCTTGCCAAACGCGTAGCAATGCTAAATTGACGCTTGTACATAAATATATATTTCCGATGGTAAGTGCAAAGCTTAGATAGGTACCTATCTTACACCAAACACCATATTTAAAAGTCATAATATAGAACCTTGGGGAAAATGTTTTAAAAATCTGACGCATTATAAAAAAATAAAAGTATGTTTGTATTAAGTTTTCTTCGTATTTCACATTGATTTCAGAATTATTTAATGAAAAAAGCAAGAAATTACAATATTAAGTTTATTTGAATATCACGATTATCTCCACTGGTTTGTCCAAGGAAAATTCCCTATGGAACAAACCAATAGACTACGTGCTTGTTGCAAATCTTTGTTCTTTTGTTTTAATGACTTTTCAGCCCTCAATGAGAAATATATGAAAGTAAGAAATTATATACCAAGCTTTTGTATATATGACCCGATAAATCTATATATATATTTTGTATACATTAAGATTATTTAAGAGTCAGATTTTTAAAACACTCAATTCTATCCCGAGAGGTTGTTTAAATTTATCTTATTCACTATATATACAGACTTATTTACCTAACGCGATGGTCGGCAGCTATATTTCTTTTCTATCTATAGTTTTTACACATATATTTGACATTGCACAGTTCGGTCCACGATATGACTTTTAGAACACTTGCGATTGTCTAACAACTCTTTTTGGGTTTAAAATTGAACTTTTTACCACGACTATTGATAATATTACCGATTCATAAATTTTGGTACTAATTGATATTACTGCCTGCTCTTTTATTGACTAGACCATAAAGTTTTAGTAAAAATTTGAAGTGACTTGAAAATTCGTTAAATTCGGAAATTCATTTCTTATATGTTAGTAAAAGGGTTATTTAAACAATTTTCTATTAGACATTATTCTGTTAAAATACTAAGCCAAGATATTATATCATAAAAAAGCGGATATGCGACAGTCCACAAAAGATGACAATGGAGGGTCCAATCGGGATCTTCCGGTAAAAAAATAGAGGTTTAGGAAAAAAATTACTTAGCACGTCAAATTTAAAACATCTGTAGAATTAGACAACAAAGAAGATAATTGAAAACAATGAAAATTAATACGTGTTACACTATTTACCTAGCAAAATAAAATATTTCGTGTCATACGGAAAATTATTTCGTAAATCGAAACGGTCGTTATTTTTTTAGGAGCGCTTTTTGCTGCTCTCATAGAAAAGACTTGAACGCGCTAAACAAATAAATAATAATTTTATCTAAACACAGTATCGACTGATAAACTTTGATAGCGATATGTTATTGATCGATTTGCACTTCCCATTACCGCGGCCGCTCGTTATAGACTCGCCGTTTGTTTCGGACGGCGGCGCCGAGCGCTGCTCGAGTGTTATTCAAATAAACATCCAGTTAAAGGAAGATTATATAGTAAATATTCCGCGTGTTTAGCCACGACCCCTTCCAATAAGAGTCAAAATACAATCGCGAGCGGATACAAGGACTACAAAGGCCACTTCCGCATCAGTCCCGGAGACGCTTTAGGCCTATCGTCCTAGCGCTATCATCACACGTACTCCTGGCATAGACTATATTTACACAGCATGTTACAAACCGTCCGATCACCAGAACACAATCACGCTCACTTGGAGTCCAATATCAACAGTTTTAACTTGAGATTTTGTGGGTAAATATCCTCGGTAGTGCAGGAAGCAGCCGCTGGCGCGACGGCCGTTGGAGCCGGCGGTGCTCAAGGCGCGGCAGGCTCGTGGAGGGGCATTGGCGCGGGCCATGGCGCGCGCCGCGGCGCCTACGCCAGCGGATACTGTCACAAGGGCGGTTGCGCGTGAGCATGAGCGTGCGCGTGCGCGTGGTACAGCGAGGACTGGTAGTAGTTGTCGACAGGCGCGTGGCTGTAACCGTAGTTGACATCGTACATTGACTTCAGGTCCGTCTTGGTGTCGGCACCGGGCAATAAACGCGTGATGCTGAACGGGTGCGGTGCGGGCGCGTAACCGGCCGGTTCCTGCTTCAGCTGCGCGTAGTGCTCGAGCGCTAGCGGCGTATGCTCGGGCAGGCACAACTCGGGTGCCGCATGTAGTTGTGCCAGCAACTCGTCTCGCATATCTTTGTCGTCGCGCATCTCGGCGCCCGCGCCGCCGCCGCCCTTCTCGTGTGCGTGGTGCTCCGACTGTCGCTTGTCGTGCCCGTGGTGTCCGTGTCCTGTGGCCGCCTTCTGTGCCTGTCGAATGGTCTCCTTCTTTTCGTCCTTAAATCTTTTCTGACGGCGCAAAAAACACCCGTTCTCGAACATGTTGCCGCTGTCGGGATGAAGGGTCCAGAAGGAACCCTTTCCTGGCTTGTCCGGCGTACGCGGCACCTTCACGAAGCAGTCGTTGAAGGATAACGAATGTCGGATGCTGTTCTGCCAGCGCTGTTGATTCTGTCTGTAGAAGGGGAAGAGGTCCATGATGAACTGGTAGATCTCAGAGAGCGTGAGCATGCGCGTAGGGTTGTTCTGGATGGCCATCGTGATGAGCGAGATGTAGGAGTAGGGTGGCTTGGCGTGCGTATACGAGCGGCGGTAGGTCTTGTCGTTACGCGCGCGCTGCAGCGCCGAGGTAGGTGAGGCAGCTTCTTGCTCGCGGGGCAAGGAACCGTAGGGCACGCCGCCGCTGCCGCCCATGCAGGACGCCATGGTGCTGGGCGGCGAATAGCCGACTCCTGGCGAGCCCATGCACGAGCCGCCGGCCACCATATTGTTAGAGTAAAGGTTACTGTAGGGCTGCGCCGGCATGCAGCCCATGCCGTTGACGTACGGCGGCGCGAGGCCCGGCGACAGGGACGACAGCGCCGCGGACGTCGGCACGTCGCCGTACGACAGCTTCTGCGAGATCATGGCTATCGCATCACCCGCGCGTGCACCACACTCCGGGGCAAACACTCGCACTGATTGAAAGAGTAAATAGAAGCCGGGGGCCCGCGCGCCCCTCCACTCCGCACGCAATTGGTGCTGGTGGGGGGCGGGTCCGCCCCAAAGCTCCGCCTCTAGCGAAGGCGCCGCGGCTTCGCGCGCAAGCTCCCCCTCGCGGCGCGCAGCCCCCGGCCTCTTTCCCCCGCTCCCCCGGCCCCTGGCCCC